GGAATGGGGGATGGGGGGTGGGGGACAGTGGTGAGGGGGATGCCGGGAGGGATGAAATGTACTGTGTCCCCTCCCCCACAGTTCCACATGAGAACTCTGAGCTAGGGAGCTGTGTTCAAGCTTGTGCAGGATTTTAAGGTCCGGTGGTGGCAGCGCTTGCCTCTGGCGCCATGTCTACACAGGAAAGAGACTGTTGCCCAGCCACCAGCTCCCTGGAGACCAGAGCCTCTGGGGCCTTGGGCCGTTCAAAGACCAAATCGTTTTCACAACATGGGAGCAGCCTGGGGTGCCCAGGCTGAGGGTCCAGGTGGCGAGGTCTCCTCTTCTGGAGAAGGTTCATTCTCAGGGCCAAACACCTCAGGTGGACAAGAACTGTGGGCCCCACCAGTGACCCTGGGCCTCCAGCATCCTCACCGCCTTACCCATCACCTGTTCTGTTTTACCAACGTTACTTGGACTCTCTGGGCCTCCGTTTGCTGGTCTGTAGACTGGAATTGTGGCATGAGGATTAGAGGAGTTTGTATGGGTCAGAAGCACTGGGGGCAGTGCCTGAAACGGAGTATTCATTCATTCAACCGATGCTTCATGGACATCAGCTGTGTGCCCTGCCCTGCTTTAGTGGCCGTAGATACTACAAAGGGTAAGCTCTCAGGATGGAAAAGATGGGTCAAAAACTCATCCTTGCCCGACAGGTGTGGCTCAGTGGTTAAGCATCCACCTATGGACCAGGAGATCATGGTTCGATTCCTGGTCAGGGCACATGGCCCGGTTGCTGGCTCCATCCCCAGTGGGGGGCATGCGGGAGGCAGCCAATCAGTGATTCTCATCATTGATGTTTCTATCTCCTCCCTCTCCCTTCCTCTTCGAAACAAATAAAAATATTTTTTAAAAAAACACCTCCCCCGCCGAAACCAGTTTGGCTCAGTGGACAGAGCGTCGGCCTGCGGACTGAAAGGTCCCGGGTTTGATTCCGGTCAAGGGCATGTACCCAGGTTTCAGGCACATCCCCAGTGGGAGATGTGCAGGAGGCAGCTGATCGATGTTTGTCTCTCATCGATGTTTCTGGCTCTCTATCTCTCTCCCTTCCTCTCTGTAAAAAATCGATAAAATGTATTTTTGTAAAAACAACTCACCCTTTAGTCCTACCTGGTTTGGCTGGGTAGATAGAGTGTTGGCCTACTGACTGAAGGGCCTCGGGTTTGATTCCAGTCAAGGGCATGTACCTGGGTTGCGGGCACATCCCCAGTGGGGGGTGTGCAGGAGGCAGCTGATCGATGTTTCTCTCTCATCGATGTTTCTAGCTCTCTATCCCTCTCCCTCTCTGTAAAAAAATCAATAAAATATATTTTTTTAAAAAAAGAATGAAATAGAACATTTAAATAAATAGATGATAAATAAATCCATAAATAAGAAAGAGATGAGGACCATGTCCAGGGCATCAAACATGTTCACTCCACCGAAAAATGCAAGGAGGAAAAATTATTGTAAATCTTAAAACCATGGGAGGGCTAATGAGAGAAAAGAATTTTCGGTCCAAAATCCAGGAGACAGTGGGAACCCAGAAAAGGCAGGGCACGAACCGAAGTCACACGCATGCCCCGGGCAATTCCGAGGGTGGGAAACTGGAGTTGGGGGCCTCACTGGCCTGGGGATCAAAGTCGGACTAGATGTCAGCGTAGGGGAAGGCTCGTGGCTCGCGGTCCCACGTGTCTTCCTGCAGGATCTTGCCTGGTCCCCAGCACGGAGGGTAGAAGCATCTCTAGGCAGCTGGGTCAAGACCCTGCCGGGGGGATTGCTGTATTCTCTCACCGCGAGCTGATTCAGCTGTGAGGAGATGGAGCAGGTGACATCAGTGAGCGGGAAGGAAGTTGCCTCCGGAAGCCGCAAGGTGTGGACATAAGGACCCTGATTGACCGGGAAGAAAGTTTCCCCATCACAGTCTTACCAGGAAGGAGGGGCCCAGACTTGACAACCTCAGAGCCCAGTAAGCGGTGAGACTGAACCTGAGAACAGAGCCAGCAGGGGGCAGCAGAGCTACAGGCTTACCAGCCGCAGCCAAAGGATTTGGGGCAGCGGTTCTCAACCTGTGGGTCGCGACCCCTTTGGGGGTCGAACGACCCTTTCACAGGGGTCGCCTAAGACCATCGGAAAACACATATATAATGACATATTGTTTTGTGATGAATCACTATGCTTTCATTATGTTCAATTTGTAATAATGAAATTGGGGGTCACCACAACATGAGGAACTGTATTAAAGGGCCGCGGCATTAGGAAGGTTGAGAACCACTGATTTGGGGGACGTTAAAGGAGCTCTGTGCCCCGAGCCAGTGCAATTCAGAACCTTCCAAGCTGACACTGGGCTTTGTTTTTTGTTTCGTTTTAATCAGTTGAATTGCTTTCTTTTTTAATATATTTTTATTGATTTTAGAGAAGAAGAAAGACAGAGAGAGAGAGAGGAGAGAGAGAGAGAGAAAAGCATCAATGACAAGAGAGAATCATTGATCTGCTGCTCTCG